GACCCCTCTTCCTGTGTCCCCCCCCAGCTATACACCTGCCCTGGCTGGCGCCGGCCCTTGCCTACAGCGACTGCCCCTGCCACCTCTGCCTGCCAGCCAGGGACAGAGATCTCCCCAGCACCGACCCCCCGGGGCTCCGCCGTGTGCGGGGCCGTGCCGAAGCCTGGGTGGGCTGCGGGGCCATGTTCCCCTGGGGAGGGAGAGGGGAAAGGTTCCCTGGGAGCAGTGAGTGGGGGGCTACCAATTTAAGGACACTCAAACCCACGTTTTGCTGAGACACCCGCCCCAGCCCCACAACCATCCCACCACCACGAGTGAAGCCCACCATGGCCAAGCCCACCCCCAGACCGGGCAGGGGGGCTGGCAGCCATCCCCCTGCCCACAGACATCTTTCCAGACCCCCTTGGAGCACAACTTCAGCCCATGGCTACCCCCAGCAGAGCCTCCCTGGGGAGCCAGTCCAAAACAGTGTCCCCGACCCAGACCCATGACAAGCCTTCAGCAAACACCTCAGGCTGCTGAGAAGCAGCAAATAAAGACTGGTGATGGTTTTCTACACAGCCTGTATGTGTTTCTGTCCTGCTCTGATTGTCCTCTCACCATGATAGCCAGGGGGAGGGGACCAGCCAGAGCAATGGGATCCATCCAGCCCCCTTGGGGCATCCCAGATTTTTGGGAGATGAGACAAATCCAGCCCCAGGTCATTCGATGAAAGGTGGGATACAGGCAGGGGTGGCTGTGCCCTTGGGCAAGGTCAGGAGGCTCCATGGGTCTATTCACTCCAGACATTTGGCTTCTTCTTCTGCTCTATATCCTCCAAACCCTGTCCACGTTCCCAAGGGAGGGGTTGGAGGGACACTGGGGGGCAGTTTGGAGGCTACCAGGGGACGGTGCAGCCCTGCACAATTGCACCGGCCCCAGGCACTCCCAGCTCTGCCTCTCTGACTGCCACACTGACCATCACCAAACCAACCAGAACCCCATAAAAGTGCTGTGTCTGCACACCAACAGAAGAGAAGAGGCCTCGTGCATCTCATTAAATACAGGTAGAAATTTATTAAGGGGGAAAATACCCACAGCTTTAAAAAAAAAGTATCAAAAAGAGACAAATCAGGCGAAGTGGCTGTCTTTGGCTGGAGCAGCACCCGAGGGACAGAGCAGGGCTAAAAATTGGCCCACGGTGGAGAGAGGGATGCAAGGAGGGATGCAGGTGCCACAGAGCTCCTGGAATCACCTGGACAATGATAGTGGACAGAGGGAGCCGAGCTCCCAGTCCTTGAATACTCATCCAAAGGACATCCCAGCTGGGGGACTCACATCTTGCCCCATTTAATAGCACTGAGACCCACTAAAGCAGCACATACCAGTCGAGAGAGCCCAGCACCAGCCTGGGTCTAAACATGCCCAGTGGGGTCCCCCGGACCCCAGGAAGGACCTGCCTTCACACCATGGCCAGTGGGATGGAGCAGGAGGTGCTGGGGAGCAGTAGCCCAGGGCTGGGGGCAGGTGGGACGTGCACCCTTGGGTGGGGAAGGTGACTGCCCCGTCCTGAGCTTCTCCTCCTGTCCAGCACCTGGATCTCTATGCTTTGAAAAAGGCAAAGGGGTAACAGCAGGGACTCAAGGGAGAAGTGAAAGGTAGGAGCACCGATGGCTTCCCAAGGGGTCTGGGGGCTTCAGGAGCAGCCACATAAATCCAGCCCTCTCTGGGTTTTTTTCTCAACACTTGGCTCCCGGCATGGCACTACAAAAGTGGTACATGTCACTTCTCCACTGCCAAAAAGAGTTTCACTGAAATAAGGGGAAAAAAAGCCCCCCTATCCTGAGTCCTGCCTCTCCACTCAGTGAGGAGCCCAAGTAGGGAAGCACAAGCCTCCTTCCATGGCCTCAAGGGAGCATGAGATGTGAGAGCAGGATTGAAAAATACCTTCAAAGCTCAAGTCTGAGCACCTCGGAGCCACAGCAGATGCCCTGGGGAGCCTGAAGTGGGGGAAACCCTTAGCCTAAAGAGCTGTGGATTAAAAAAGAGTGCCCCTGCAAAAAAGGGGGTCGTGTTCACAGTATGAGCTGCAGTGCCCGGGGGCACCGAGGCAGGACGGGGCCTCAGGCAGGCAGGGGCACAGACAGGAGACCTTGGTAGCTTCATTCCAGCTGCTTTAAAGGCTCCTCACCAAATGGGTGGGAGCCTGGTCTGGCTGTGGCCACACCAAAATCCCGCTCCCCTCGGCCCTTTCCCCGCGCAGGCAGCAGCCAGGGTCAGTCCCCAAACCAGTTATGGCTTTTCAGTGCCAAGAGGCAGCCCCAAAGCAGTGCAAGACCGTGCTGGCTCCAGCCCCACTCCCCAGCTTTCAACAGGGATAGAGCCCAAAGCCACCAGCCCTCAGGATGGAGCTGTGCCCAGGCTCTGCACCGTCCTGGAGCAGGCTGGTGAAGACCCACTCCATGGCCAACATCCCTCTCCCAGCGCCAGCGGCAGGGTCAGTGCAGGACCTGCTCCAGCTCGTACTTCTCACAGAACTTGCTGGTGAAGGGCAGGCAGTTGAGATACTCCACCCAGCGCCAGTTCACGGGGTAGACGTAGAGCCAGACCACCAGTGAGGCGAAGAGCCCCACGAAGACCAGCAAGGAGACGATGATCATGGCTCGCTTGCGGTACTTGTCCACCGTGCCGAAGGTGATGTAGGGCAGGAAGGCAAAGGAGAGGAGGAGGCCGCTGAGGAAGCCGAAGAGGTGAGCGATGTTATCGATCCAGGGCAAGAGGCCGCAGATGAAGAGGAAGAGGACGATGCCAAAGAGGTTGAGGAAGGCTTTCCAGGGTTTCTCCAGCACTTGCCAGCTCTGGAAGAGCTCCACGAAGAGGCAGGCCAGCAAGCCGAACTGAGACCCGGCAGGGCCCACCTGTGGAGATGGGGGAAGTCATGGCCAGACGGAGCCCCGCCAGGGCCCACCTGTGGAGATGGGGGAAGTCATGGCCAGACCCTGTGTGCCTCACCCCAGACACCAGCTCCGTCTCCCCAGGGACTGTCTCCTCCTCTTACAAAATGCACTCAGCTCCTGCACCTCTATGAGGGTGTGCTCACACCGTTGTGGGGCTCAGGGGTGGGCATCCTGGCACGGGAGGAAGAGGAGGGGAGCACGCCGGTGCTGTTTTGGCAGAGTCGG